AACAAATTCAGTAATCACGCACTTATTTAAATTAAATATCCAGAAATCCAAAAATCCAGTTGCATTTTTATACACCAATAATGAACTATAAGAAAAAGAAACTAAAAAGATAATCCCATTCACAATTACTTTAAAACAAATAAAAAATATTTAGGAATAAATTTAACCAAGCATGTAAAAGACCTATACTCAGAAAATTATAAGACACTGAAGAAAGTAATTGCAGAAGACACAAATAAGTGGAAGGATATACCAGGTTCATGGATAGGAAGAACTAATATCATTAAAATGTCCATACTACCCAAATCAATCTATAGATTCAACACAATTCCTATCAAGATACCAATGGCATATTTCGCAGAACTAAAAAAATATTCCAAAAATGTATATAGGTCCACAAAAGACCCAGAATAGCAACAAGGATCTTGAGAAAGAAGAACAATGTTGTAGGAATCATGCTATCTGATATCAGACTATACTACAAAGCTATAGTAATCAAACCAGCCTAGTGTTGGCAGGAAAAAAAAAAAAGACCAAAAGATCAATGGTACAGAATAGAGAGTCCATGAATAAACCCACCCCTTTATAGTCAATTACTATTTAACAAAGGAGGAAAAAAAAACCATAAAGTTGGGTGAAGATAGTCTTTCCAATAAATGGTGTTGGGAAAATTGGACCAATATGTGCCAAAAAAAAGTGGAAATAGGTCATCTTTTTACACTATACATAAGAATAAACTAAAAATGGATAATAGACTAAAATGTTACACTCAAAACCACAAAAATCCTAGAAGAAAACATAGGCAGTAAAATCTTGGCCATTTTTTATAGCAATATTTTTTTCTGATATATCTTCCCAGGCAAAGGAAATAAAAGAAAAAATAACCAAATTGGATTACATCAAACTAAAAAGGAAACCATCAGCAAAATGAAAAGACAGCCCACTGAATGGGAAAACATATTCATCAATGATACATCTGATAAGGGGTTAAGATCCAAAATTGATAAAGAGGCTATAAAATTGAACACCAAATAAAATAGAAAAATCCAATTTAAAAAATGAGCAAATGGCCTGTTTCTACAAAGATGACATAAAGATGGCCAATAGACATATGAAAAGTTACTCAGCATCACTAATTATCAGAGAAATGCAAATTAAAATCACAATGAGATATTGCCTCATATCTGTCAAAATGGCTCTCATCAATACAACAAATAACTGTTGTCGAGGATGTGGAGAAAAGGGCACCCCAATACACTGCTGGTGGGAATGCAAACTGGTGCAGCTACTGTGGAAAACAGTATGGAGTTACCTCAACAGGTTAAAAAAAAAAAAAAAAAAAGAACTGCCTTATGACCCAGTGATTTCACTTCTGGGAATTTATTAATAGAAACCGGAAACACTACTTTGAAAGACTATATGTGCCCCTATTTCATTGCAGCATTATTTACCAAAGCAAACATTTGGAAACACTTCAAGTGTCCATCAGCAAATTAGTAGATAAGAAAAGCTGAAATATATTTACCCAATGGAATATTACTCAGTTATGAAAAAGAAGGAAATCTGCCCTGACCGGTTTGGCTCACTGGATAGAGCATCGGCTTGGGCGCTGAAGGGTGTGGTTGTGGGGGGTGTGCAGGAGGCAGCTGATTGATGCTTCTCTCTCATCGATGTTTCTGACTCTCTATCCCTCTCCCTTCCTCTCTGTAAAAAATCAATAAAATAAATTTTTTAAAAAAGAGAAAGGAATCTTACTCTTAGGGATACTATGGATGGAACTGGAGAACATTATGCTAAGTGAAATAAGCCAGTCAGAAAAAGACAAGTACTATATTATTTCACTCTTATGTAGAATCTAATGAACACAATGGACTAACAAGCAAAATAAAGACAGATTGGTAGACAGCAGGCTGATCTGTCAGAAATGGAGTGGTTGAGGGAATGGATGGGTGTAGATGAAGGGATTGAGCTAAAAAAAAAAATAAAGAACAACTCATGGAGACACACAACCGTGTTTCCCAGAGGTGGGGCTGGTGGTAGGAAGTGGAGGAGAGTATTGGGGGGATATGGTGGAGTAAGATTTGACTTAGAGTGGTGAACGCACAATACAGTGCACAAAAGACATGTGAAATTCTGCTCCTGAAACTTGTATAATTTTGTTAGACATGTAACTCCAATAAATTAAAGAAAATGGATTTTTTAAAAAAAGCAATAAAAGGGGAGTATGTAGTTTGAAAGATTTGAGCCATCATTTATGACAAGTAGGTGATTCTCCCAAAGCTGAAATGTAAACATCAGAAAGAGTTCAGTCTGTTATCCCAAATCCACTATTCTTAAAATCAGGATTAAGCATACAATGAGCAGATTATGTTCTCATTTTAAATTTCTCCTCCCTTCTATTCCTCCAGTATTTTTATCATGAAACTAGTGGCCCAGGGCACAGATTCATGCACATTGAAAGGAAATTAATTAGAAGGTGGCCTATGGGATGGAACTGGGCCCGATGGGCTGGACATGCCCTGGAGCCAACCTTCTTCAGTCCCTCCCTGGTATCTGCAGAGTGAGCGGGTCCCTCTGGCAGGTGGGGTCCCTTGGTCTGGCCTGTGGGGATCAGGAGGAAACCAGCTCTCCGACATCCCCCGAGGGTCCCGGAGTGGGAGAGGACACTCTGCAAAGTTGCTGTCCTACAGGGTGTGGAACACAAATGCAAGTGCGCGGTAAACCAGATTCGGGGTATTTCTGTGAAGATCACACCCTTCCCTCTGGTAGAAATTAGATTTTACAGCCTTTACTAATTACAGGCTAGAGGCTCCAGTGCCCTCCCAATAGTAGACTGCTTTGAGACAGCAGCTGGAAATTAGGATAGTAAAGTAAATTCAGAAGAGGCTCATCAAGTTTTTCTTGTCCATTAAATGAAAATGAAATGTCGTATTTGTGAAGTTCTGTGGAGGGAACCATTGAAAAGATAGCTCAAGTTGCTTAGTGAAGAGAGTTTTGCTATCAACATACCACATATAAGCTACAGTTAAGACAAAAATGCAATCAGGAAAATTACTTGAAATGTTTATGTTTACTTCCAGTTTTCAAATTAAAGTAGAGCATCATGTTCCTTTGGGTTGTCATTCAAATGCTCTCTTCCTCTCCCGATTCCTATACATCTAGTAGCTGATAAACTCCTTTCTTTAGAAGTAGAATCACTATCCCCAAACTGACATTTTTTTTTCTTTCCTGAGAGCTTCATTGCTTGTATGATTCCCAGAAATCACAAACACATCTAGTTCAAGTTCTTTATTTAATAGACACTTCTGATTTTAAAACTGTCATGTAAAATCTCTGCTGAGTTCTATTGAACTACCTTAGTTTATAAGTCATTTAACCCTAATTGAGAGGTCATCCAGGTCAACGAATTTCTCATCTCAACTAGAGCCTTTCTATACAGCATCTTTGACAAATCCTGTTTCACCTGGGTTTTGGTGACTTGGTTGGTCATCAGTGTTTTGTGAGTAGCACCATTTGGAAAGCTGGTGTACAAAGCCCTTCCTTATATTTAACCCCATCCCCAACCTTCCATTTGCCTAGTTCTCTCTTTTGGAATATACGGAGTGTTTATTCCTTGAGCTGAGCTGTATATCAAATAATTGAATGAAAAAGGTTCTTAGAGAACACAGGTCTCCACATTAAGGCATAGTTTAAATTTTGTTCAGATTCACTTTATTTCTTCCTTCCTTTCTCTCTCTGGATGTTCTCTTTTCTTCAACTAGAGAAAACATGGTCAGCCCAAGAGGCACAGGAAGGTAAGTGTGGGGCTTCGAACAGAAAACGCCTTTACATCTGGTGCTGTGTAACACACTGTGCAAGCACAGGGGAACGACCCTTTTCCGTCCACACTCCCCAACCTCGCCACACAGATTCTTTTTAAATGGTTTTTATTTTTCAATTATAGGTGACATCAATATTATATTAGTTTCAAGTGTACAGCATAGTAGTTTGACATTTATGTAACTTATGAAGTGATCTAGTGCCCATCTGACACCCTATAGCAGTGATGGCAAACCTTTTGAGCTCGGCGTGTCAGCATTTTGAAAAACCCTAACTTAACTCTGGTGCCGTGTCACATATAGAAATTTTTTGATATTTGCAACCATAGTAAAACAGACTTATATTTTTGATATTTATTTTATATATGTAAATGCCATTTAACAAAGAAAAATCAACCAAAAAAATGAGTTCGCGTGTCACCTCTGACACGCGTGTCATAGGTTCGCCATCACTGCCCTATAGTTATTACAATGTTATTGACTATATTCCCTATGCTGCATTATACACCCTCCTGCCTAGTTTTAAAACTGCCAATTTGTACTTTTTAACCCCTTCCTCTTTTTCACCCATCCTCCCTACCTCCTCTCCCAACTGTCAAACATCAATTTGTTCTCTGCATCTATGAGTTTTTTCCTGCTCCGCAACCTTGATTTGTCACATTCTTTATGTGTGTACGTAATTATTTCTGGTCAAATTCTAATCCCAACCTGGGGCTCCATTTCCCTAGGAAAATGTTAGAAAATGACAGGAACAACATAAATCTTAAGTCAGGAAGAGGAGCCTAGCTCAGATGCCTGTTTTGCTCAGAAGGCGTTTTTTTTTAAAGCCTCAACTGAGCATATATTTTTTCCCCATTGACTTTTAGACAGTGGAAGGGAAAGGTGAGAGGTGAGGCGGGGGTGGGAGAGAGAAGGATCCACGTAAACGCTCTGTGACCGGAATCGAACCAGGTTACCCTTTGGTGCGGTGGGCCTGCACTCTAACCAAGGAGCCACACCAACCAGGGCTCAAAGCTGTCCTTTGAGCAACGATTTATCTTGCCAGGCGCAGAGTGAGCTTCGCACTCTGGCCACCAGGGGGCGCGCGCGTTCGCCAAGCCGGTTTCCGAGCGTGAGCGTGGGCGTGGGCGTGAGCGTGGGCGAACAGCTGCCGGACCGGACCTTCGTGTTTTTGAGCGGCGCGTGGGTCGCCTTCGAGGACATGGGCGACAAGTATGCTACTCTGCGGCGGGCACAGCTGCATCTGGATTTCATCCACGCCAACTCGTGAGTGACTCCGTAGAGCCTGAAAGGGCAGGGGGGTGGGGGGAGGGTCTCACCGTGAAAAGTTTGGGCCCGTCTCCTAGCGAAATACGTGAACTTGGTATCACTGACTTATGGAAATATTTCTTTATTTAATTCTTTGTTTATGCTTTAAAAAGAAAAAAGAAATAATACAATTGTTTATGCTTTAAAAAGAAAAAAGCAAAGTTATTGATGCTTTATAAAGAAAAAACTATTTGAAGCATATGCTTTAAAAAGAATAATAAAAAAAGTAAACTGATATTCTGGGCCAGGCTAAACCCTTTTTATTTTTTCCCCACTAACGCCAAGTGGCAGGAGGGTCCTACATTTATCATTTAACAAAATTGTAGGCCAGAGAACCCTCATTCCACCAAGGTTGCCCATCTCTAGTGACTTCCCTGCCCAATATCCTGACATTTTAAAGATTAAAGTTGCCTCCGGAGAGTAATTTGTATTTATTGATTACAGCGTCTGCGGCCTCCAGAGTATTTCCAAAAAACGTGACCTCTCTGAGGTTAGAACCCTCACATTTTGGTTATCACAAGGGCCCACTGGCTTCTCTGTCAGGCCCAGATGCGTTTTGGCTACCGACTAGGTGTTATTTCAGATGCTCAGATTGCAGAGGAAGAAGACAGGTTCCCTATTCCATCTGTCATTTCCCACACAGCAAAACACGGCAGGGAGTGAGTGCTGCGTAATTCACAGTGTTGTTGTTTGGGGGGATCTTTTAGTGTTTTGGATTTTCTGAAAGTACTGATTGATATAAAGCAGTGATTTTCAACCCTTTTCATCTCATGCACACATAAACTCATTACTAAAGTTTTGCAGAACACCAAAAAATGTTTTCTATTTTTTGCTGATCTGACCTAAAAAAGTAGGTATCATTTTGATGCATTCACACTGGCCAGCTATTGTTGTGTTGGCTGTTGTCATTTTTAAATTTGACAATCTAAAGAAAAAGAGGTCAGTGCCTCTGACTGAACAGTCAGGTATTGCATGTTTTAAAAATTCTTGTGGCACACCAGTTGAAAATCACTGATACAAGAGATGCACCGGATTTGAAACCACAGAAAAGGTGTAAAGAACACCAGGGTTAGCCAGCTTTGCTGTATGGGACAGAGCAATTTTTTACAGAAAATATGAGTACAACAGGTACTATTCAGCAGGTATTTAGTTTTTGTTTCTTTATTTTGTAGAATAATTGCAAGCTGGAAGGGATGGGACATGAATTAAAAGTTAACAGAGGTGGAAGACAAATGAAGAAATAGCAGTTTTGAGTTGGTGATTTGTACAATTATAAGCCCCGTGTTGGAAGGACTGTGGATTTAACCTGAGGAAGTTTCCTGAGCCTCAGTTTTGCATAGCTTCTGCAGATGTCCTTCCCAGACCTCTCCTCCCCCAAATCACCCCATAGTCAGTTACTAGTCTGGAAACTGAATAACAAAACTGACAGCAGCACAGGCAGGAACAAAATCAGATACAAATTGGTAACTTCTCCACTCCCCCGGGTCGTTTTTGTTGGAGACTCCCACAGTATAAACAGGAGTGATTTTGTATTTCTCCACTGCTTCACCTCTCCTGTCCAATCCACCGTACAATCCATCATCAAGTCCCCTTCAGGCTGTCTCAAACGAGGACTCAAAGACTCAAATTCATCCGTTCCACTCCATCATCACTACCACTGACTAGTCCAAACCACTGCCATCTCCCTTCCGGACTCCTCCACATAGCCTCTAAACTGGGTTCCTTGTTTCCTGTTCTTGCTCCCCCAAATGGTCTGTTTTTCTGAAAGCTGTCAGTGTGAATCTAAAAAACAAACAAAAAAACCAACAAAATAAACTTGAACAAATGCTTACAAAACAATTTGCTCTAAGTACAGGAAGGCCTGTGAAGTCTTGTTTCATTAGGAGTAGACAGGCTATTTCGGCCGTCCTGTTCTTAGCCCTGCTGGCTTTGTAATAAAGTGCATCAACTTCAGAATCTTGATGGTTCTGAGAAAGTTGTTTCTAGAATAACTCCTTACTGGATTATCTGTCTAGACCTGGAGAATACTTGTCTGC